CGGCTAATTTTTTATATTTTTAGTAGAGACGGGATTTCACCTGTGTAGCCAGGAATGGTCTCTATCTCCTGACCTCGTGATCCACCCACCTTGGCCTCCCAAAGTGCTGGGATTACAGGCGTGAGCCACCGCGCCCGGGCCCCCAACTGCTTTTAAGTGCTTTCAAGTTTCCTTGTCATCTACCAGCCCTGAGACCCACTGTTTTACCTTCTCTAGAGGAAACTTCTCCAGCCTTCTTTCAAAGTGCAGCAGAGATAGTTGGGACATAAGAATCTGTTTCCTAAACAGACTTTCAACTGTTTATGTCCTCTTTTCCCGAGGAATATGATGCCTTGAATTCTGAACTTTTTGGGAGTTTGTGATCAAAATTGGACTTGGATTTCTAGGATGTGCTAAATTAGGTATACCTCCTGTCCAGCTGCTAAACCCTATCCTTATTTTTAATGCAGTTTCAAGGGAGAACACTGCTCAATTCTTGTGTTTAATTCATCATCTGTAACCAGAAGCATCACCAAATCTGAAGTATCAATGAAAGCAGTAAGGTATTCAGAACAGAAATAGTAGTCATGTTACAGGCTACAGCAGTCAGATTACATCTGGAGCAACACTTTCCATTCTGAGCAATGTAATGTTGACAGATTACATAATGACTAGTGAAGAGAGATGGCAATAGTTTAAGGTACAAAACCAAGTTAAATGAGAAGCAACTGCAGGAACTGTTGATATTTCTCTAGACCAAAAAGGCCTCTAAGATGCTGTGATCAAAATTTGAATGTAGTTAAGATGAATACCCACAGGCCAATGATATCAACTCTCTGTTCAAAGGTTTTGGAGGGGTGAGAATACTTATAGCTCCCTTAAAAAAAAAAATATATATATATATATATGTATATCATATATATATTTTTTAATTTATTTTTTAATTTTTTTTTAAATATTTTGAGATGGAGTCTCACTGTTGCCCAGGTTGAAGCACAGTGGCATTATCTCAGCTCACTGCAACTTTCACCTCCCGGGTTCAAGCAGTTCTCCTGCGTCAGACTCCCTAGTAGCTGGGATTACAGATGTGCCGCCACATCTGGCTAATGTTCGTATTTTTAGTAGAGACGGGGTTTCACCATGTTGGTCAGGCTGGTCTCGAACTCCTGACCTCAAGTGATCCACCCGTCTCAGCCTCCCAAAGTGCTAGGATTACAGGCATGAGCCACTCGCTTTAAATACTTAATTGACTGTTGTATCACAAGGAATTAGACATTAAGTTTCTTTACAGAGAACATAAAAGTGATAACTGAACCAAGTGAAAGCAAAATACATTTTGGCTCAGTGTAAGGAAGACCTACAATAGGAGTCTCAGACATAAATGTGAACAGGGACCAATAATATAAATATGTGAACTGACTGGATAAAGATATTAGCAAACTGAAAAGTGCATGCCATGTATAGAGTGATAGAGTGAGTAGCAGTATTGAAAAGTTCAATATTTTTAAAACTCAAATTTTGAAATTTATTTACAATATTCCAATTTTTTGACATTAATTTATTTTTGAAAACTTCATCTCTTATACCAAACATATGGGTAGGATGAATTTATCTTGTGGGACTCCTATTTGTAACCTCTCTAAGGCTTAGGTCTAACATCCCAATGTTATCATTGGAACTGTCCCAGTCAGATTTGGCTGCTTATGTATCAGGCATAACAGTGAGAATAAAATTGAACTAAATAATGTCTAATTGCCTTTTGACTTCAGAAAGTCTGCACTTGAAATGTAATTTCTTTTAATAAAAACGTAGTTACCCATGGAGTAACTGTGCCCATTGCATGATACCCAGTCTTTACTTTTCCTTCTTGTGCCTTTCACTGTTTTTGGTCACTTAACATCTTTGTGTAAAGCATGTAATTTGTGCTATGCATATGTGGCAACTTATATGTAGCTCCTTTAAAAGAATTATCTAAGAATGAGGCAAAATTGCTGGCCAAACTGATTTTAAGTGTTAGTTCTGGTTTTCTATATTCTACATAGTCACTATATCCCCAAAGAAGTTGTGTGATGTAATGGAAAAAATAATATATGCATGGTGGATGCACACTAATCGTAATTTTAGAAGCTGGAATATACATTTGAGGCCATAACCCATTCCTCTAGTTTACATTTGAAAGTCTTGAGGCCTGAGAGAGTTAAATGACTTGCTAAGTTGTGCCCAGTACATAATACATGGTGTTGGGCAGAGTTAGAGAAGAGAAGATATGATCTTGTTCTGAGGAACTTAATAATTTCAAATGACAGGACACCACACACACATCTATTTGAGCAATTTAAGGTATAGAAAATCCTAAATAATGTACTGAGAGCTTAGGAGTTTACTTTCAAAAAAAAAAAAAGATACTATGGAACTTGACCTCAGGCACAGCCCATGTTGTGTGTCCTTCCCCACACTTTCCGATTCTCCATCTCCTTCCTGCCATTACTTCTCTGCTGGAAAATTTCACTATCAAATAACTAATAGTAAATTAGGAGTGAGAAATTTATGGAAGAGTAATAATGAAGAGTAAATGCTAGCTACCAAGTAATTAGCTTTCAACTAATTAAGCATTATAATGACTGTCCCCTTGAACAGGGAGGCAATGAGCATTTTAAAATGAGTTTTAGTGCATTTCACTCAACTTTCCATAAGGTAGTGTTAATTCCTTCCAGGTAACCCTGATTTCTTTTCATAAAGAAAATATGGTAAAATGTATAAAACATTTATCTTTTATCTCTATAAATACAGACACTATTCAGGAAACAATTACTAAAAGAATGGAGTTACAAATTAAATTAATTCATTTTCTTCATAAAAAGTTAAAGAGAAAGACATAAATATCAAAGGACTAAGTCTATTATTTTAAAAGCAACTGTCTCATGACTGGAAAAGGTTAAACATGTTCAAAAGTAAGTGACATCTCAGGAAAAAAAGATGCAAGCTTTGAATTTTAGTGTTACATTTCTCAATGATCTTCCAAAAAGATATGTGGAAGGTATTAGTCATTGCAGGAAACTGAAGGTATATTATGATGGAATAAGGATCACATTTTTCTCTTTGAGGTGATTTATATTTAAATGAGTTCTCCATAATCCTTTAAACTGAAGTGCAAATTGGTTATCAAAGTCCTTTGCTGTAAGGGTTGTTTTACATAATAATGAATTTTACAGAGTTCCTCAAAGGGAAATATTGATTTAGGCAACATCACAGAATATTTCAGTTACAGTAACACCTCAGTGCCATAGACAGCATGTAAAAACTTTCTAAAATCTAAAATTTTTTATTAAAAAGTATAGGCAGTGTACCTTTTCTGAATAGAAAATACACTTGTAATAGAAATTTTTAATTAAGAAAGATTCCATTTAGTCTATCATTACTCATCTACCTTAACAAGTGTTAGTGTGAGTTGACCATGTGCTAGGTACATGGCTTGTGTTTTTTAAAAATGGGCTGTATGAAAGTACGAGGACATGTCCATTTGCCTGTACATGGGTATGTTGCTACTAATCCTTGATAACTCCAATGATTATATTTTTAACTCTGTGCTATATAATTTACATATGCTACTTTGTTCATTACTCACCATGTGAGGCAGCCATCAGTATCATTTTATAAATGAGAAAACTGTGTATGTGGTATGTAATGATTTGAACCAGAGTTTATTTCTGTCATCCATTATGCTACACTACCATCTCAAATCTGCTTATTTTCATTCTTGAGCCCTATATGGCTCACCGCCAAGGGTAAGCTCCAACACTCACCTCAGTGATAAGAGTCAAAAAACTGACAGGTTCCTGTGTGTGGTAGCTCAGGGGCCCTAGGTCCCCATGAGTTCTTATCATTTAGGTGTTACCCAGATAGCCTTACTTCAGTGAAATCCTGGACCAAAGCCCTGGGGAGAACCTGAGATTGGGGCTGTAAATGGGAAAAGGCATTAAATTCAGTTACAAGCCGCTGTCAGTTTTTGACAGGCTCCTGTGTGTTTGAGACAGAGGTCTATCACTAACTAGATATACAGATCTAGGAAAATCACTTTACTTTTCTGAGCCTTTGTTTTCTCATCTGCAAAATGAAGAGGCCAAATTTATCAAGGGCTTTCACACTTTATTTATTTGTTTTATAAGAAGTGGAACTCTTCCAGCAAATTAAGTCTTATATTGAATGCCAGTATCTAGAACAGATACAGGGAAATGACACTGGTCAGAGCAAGGGCTGGGTTTTGAAGAAACATAAGTCTAGCTACCTACTGGGTCTCTTCCTAATCCCCATCTTAACTCTAAGGAGGCTTCGGAGGCATCTAAAGCCTTGTAGAACACACTTTTCAAACTGTGGCCTACTTCTTAGTTTATACCAGTTCTCATATACTTGTGACTTAAAAAATATCTGTAGCCATATGAAAAGAGCATTAGAGTTGTACTAGAAAGGAGCTGGGTCAGGGCTGACAATTCAAATTGTAAAACACGTAATCAAATAACTTGGCCTGTGGGTAGCCAGGCACATGCTCTTAGTCTTGAGGTTCCTGAACTTGGCTACTGAAGTGTTTCAGGGTGGCAGCAAAGGCAGGAGTGGGGCATTATAATAATTGTTGAAACCTGTCAAATTTTGCTGCAGTTAATTTAATTATATGTGAATATTATGTTAGCCTGATAGCATTATTCTGTTAATTGATTTTCTGAAAGATTACTTGATATTGAGACAAACTCAATTGTGACTCAACTAGTGCTGATTATTCCATCAAAACACTTTTCCTTGCCTTTTATTTTTAGTATGAATCTTAGAAAAATTGGTTCATGTTCTCTAAAAGAAAAAAATCATATTTTATTATTGCAACTCTTGGCTTAAAGATATTGTTGGCATATCTGTATTAACCGCTGTTAAACTCAACCAGTGTCTTTCTGGCCCTGTACTGCCTCTGTGATTGACAATGTTTCACTGGTTCAATTCTGACCTGTCTGTGATCACAGATCCTTTTCACTTACCTGCCTCCGCCTTCTGCTGTTTCTCAATCTTCTCCAGGCGCCCTAGCAAGGAGTCAATTTTAGTTTTGATCTGGGTTAATTCCTTCTTGATGGTCTGTAACTCATCTGATTTCACTGGAAAGGAGAAAGAAGGAATAAAACAGCAGAGCATCAAATGCACCATAACTCACCTAGGACCCAACTCACAGGCACCCCATATTTTCTCAAGTCTGTGTCCAATCACATAGGATGTTTTTCAATATTATCAACTTCTCATTACTTCTAGTGATCCTGGAATACTGGATGATTTTGCCAATTACAAATACGGATTCTCAGTGACATGAGCATTTAATCCTAAATCTTTTGACTGAAGGTTATGGAAATGGATAATGGAATTTAGAAATATTTTATAAAATAACCAAATGATGCTAAATTAAATTTTAGCAAATAGAGTAAATCTTCAATGTGAGAGGGATTCAGATGAAGGAATAATGAAATCATAACAGATACTGCTTTGAGGAACTACATTGTAATATATATTTTAGCAGTCAATGATATTTTAATCCAGCTCCTTGGAAATTGATGGAAACCAGGATATACAATTTATCCTTTAAATAAAATGTCTTAGATGCGAGAAAACTCCAGCTCCCTCAAAGTTGCTATGAAGCTTCAGTTTTTCTAAAAAAAAAAAAAACAAACCGGCAGTGAGTTGTGCATGCCTTCCTCTAAGCCCTGGGCTTGATGAAAAGGAAAATCACTGAAGTTCCCATTGATATTTTCAATAGTAGTGGTTCCCATTCTAGATTTTTAGAGTTTAGTACCATTTCAAAGAAAACAAGTGGGGACTAACATAAGACTGGCAACTTTTCATTTTGCCAAGTATGGATGTTAAAAACAACAATAAATAGCCTACTGTTGACTACAGTAATTATTTTATAAGGCAAAAAGGCTTAAGGAAAGAACAATCTCATATTTCAAAGACAATGCTTTAAATGAAATATGTTTATATTTGTAAAAAGTTTACTGCACTGTTCTTATTTTTCTGAAACCCATTTCAATTTTATCACCTTTTCATTACTTCTAGTGATCCTGGAACACTGTATTATTTTGCCAGTTACAAATAGGGATTCTCAGTGACATGAGCATTTAATCCTAAATCTTTTGACTGAAGGGTATGCAAATGGATAATGGAATTTAGAAATATGTTGAATCCACAACAATCAGAAATGAAAGATTTTAAAACTATCACTATGGAACAGCTATACCTGCCTCCGAGCTTTTATTAGGTGGACTGGCAGTATTCACACCTCAGTCAAGAGCCAAGTTTCAAGATCTTGGACACTTATTTGATTCCAGTCTATTTCTCTTCTGTCTCTTTTCCTTCTGGTTTCTAATAATCTCGGACTAGATATTCCCCAGAAATTTCTGAGGGAATTAGAGTGTTTAGTTTGATTCTTTAGTCTTCAGACTTTTTTGAAAAAATAAAAAAATGCAATCTATGTTGCTTAAAATAGAACTATTTGTCAATTAAGAAATGATATAGTATACATGATATATTATGGATCATAAACACTAAGTCTCAAGGGAAGAACAGATTTTTATATAAAAATGAGAAAACTTTTCCCATTGTAAAATCAGATTTTTTTTTTTTAAAGCAGACTTTTATTTACAATGCAAAGTTGTTTGCAAAATAAAAACTGCAAGAAGCATGGGCCCTCTGGAGTATCCCTCTGATGAATGACTAAACTGAAAGTAGTAGAACAGTGTAAAATACAGAATCACTCCTCATGTCAATTACTTCAAAGACATCAAAGTACCATTGTGGAATTGCAGCTAAATTTGAGAAACATCATCTGTCACAATTGCAAATTGATTCTGCTTTGAAGAGTGGTACTCATTCCTTTGATGAAGGCATATGCAGTTTTACTTAAATGTATCAAATTTAATAGAAAATATTTTATCTTATAACATTAGATTTCAATGCAGGAGAAATAAGACTATGGCTGAAAACTAACAGAATATATTTCTTAGCAATTAGAGCTACTCCTTAGCCCAGGAATGCAGTTGACTAATTTTAATTTATGTATTGCCTTAAAAAACATAAACCAATAAACCACTACTACTCTACTTTATTGAACCTACATTAGAAAACAATTGGAAATACAGACTCCTCTGGCTGGAACTTAGAAGTCTCCAGGGAGCCAAGGTTTTGTTTAAGTCTAGACTCATGTCTAGCACTGAAAGAACACCTTTCAGATCTCAGCTGGATTATTATGGAATTTGGGTCTAATAAGTTAATGTTACTCAAGAAACAATGCTCAAATGTAACACAGAAATCTGGAGAGATTCTGTCAGTTCTTTCCTGGACCTACCAGGAAATGTTAAAGTGAGCCTCTAACCCTATGCAGGCTGCTCAGTTCCTCTCTTAGAATGGGGGGGCAGCAAATGCTCATCTAGGTCCTGCAAAGCAGACTCTACATATAATCTTGGCTGCCTCTTGAGCAATTGTAGAAGTCGTTTCCTCATCACACTTCAATATCTCAGTGCTGTCCTTGGGAGAAGGCTTGCCCCTTACCTGGTCCAATTGGCCTTAGTCCGCTTTCTACTTTTCTTTATGCAGAGTCACTATCTATATATGGGCTATGGTTTTGTGCTATTACATCTGGTTTCTGGATGGAATGCCTGGAATGAACCTCCTCTGACTCTCATGTACTGCTCTTTCTAACTCTCTTCTGCTTTTGTTTTCTACTTTTTCCCCTCCTGTTAATAACTTCTCTACTGCACAGTGAATTATATTGTCCCTATTTTTGCTTACTATTATTCTCTAGTAGTTGAGTGTATATACATACATCAGAGATATTTTAGAAGACATTGGTAATACTATCTTCACAGGAAAAATATCTTTTGCTCTTTTTCTCTAGATAAATTTTACCACAGAAAATACTTGTCAAAAATTATACACAAATATGGTGAAACCCCATGTCTACTAAAAATACAAAAATTAGCTGGGCATGGTGGCATGCACCTGTAATCCCAGCTACTTGGGAGGCTGAGGCAGAGAATTGCTTGAACCCAGGAGACGGAGGTTGCAGCGAGCCAAGATCGTGCCACTGCCCTCCAATCTGGGTGACAGAGTGAGACTCTGTCTCAAAAAAAAAATATATATATATATACACAAAAGCAAACATGCTGTCATAATAAAAATCTTTGGTTGTTTTGTTGAGGACAACTTATTTTTCTATGAGTGATTATAGGGCTTGAATTTAGAATTACCAAACAAAATCAGCAAAGTGATAAATTAAAAAAAATTACAAAGTTCCTAGGACAAATTACTTTAGCTTATTTTTAGGCAAGAAGAACACTAGAGAAATAGAAGTCAGGTTGCCTCACTATTACTGTAGTATTTTTATTTTAAAAAAGAAGTCACATTAAGTCATTTCAGATCTGCACTCTCTATACAGGTCATTGATTTGGTGATAAATGTTATTACATTCTGATACAGTTGACAAAATGATTGTGCCTTCTGCTGTGACGTGAGATATAATCCAAAAAGAATATTAGGCACATGGGATGATACCATCTGTCTATATAAAAATGTGTGCATTTCTGACTTATGTGGTAAAAAATATTTCAATTTATTTTAATCATCTTTGGGTCAAGTCTCTTCTGGGTAAATAAAGAAGCTTCAGCTAACTGTCTAGATCCGTGGTTCTTAATAGAGGGTGATTTTGCTCTGCGGGAGAGATTCTACTGTCTCTGGAGACATTTTGGCTTGTTATGACTTGGAGGGGTGGTGCTACTGGCTTCTAGTGAGGATTTAGTCTGCTCAACATCCTACAATGCACAAGATAGCCCACACCACACCACACCACACCACACCACAGAATTATCTGACCCCAAATCCTGATCATGTGAAAACTATTGAAACCTTGCTCTAGATAATTATATAACCTCCCTTACCAATATCATGCTTCCTATCAACTATTTAGAAAACTGAAAAATGTTTGTAATCATGTGGACTTTGACAATAAATCACATTTCGTTATTATTTTTATTTTCCCCAGCCATTAATACATTATTTGAATGTCCAAAACAAAGAAATATATTTGCATATCACTTAATTTATAAATCACTTTTAAATATAGTATTTCAACAATAAAGAATCTGAGAATCTGATGATGTACAGCATTTTCCCAAAGTCACGTGACATGCACAGGTAAGAGTTTAGGCTGAAACCTAGATTTTCTTACTTTCAATTCTACACTTTTTACTGTGTCATGCAGCTTCAGTTGATGTGAAAAATATGATCATCAGTTTCAGTTATTTCCTTCACTATGAATTAATGAACCACTGTGTTTAATTCAATAATATTCAGAAAAAGAAAAGGAAGGTTTCTGGAAATCTTTATCATGATCACTTCAATGCCTCTTCTCTGCTTCCATCTGTCCCCTTCTTGATATATACATAAATATCCCATAATAAGAAAATGAACAACTGGCCTGAAGTTATAGGACAGGTGATACCCTTGTAACATAATACGTAATACAATTTTTTTAAAGCTAATTTAATATGAAGAGGCTAATTTGCTAGTCTCAGAAATAGTTTTCAAAAGCCAAACTTTAAAGTATTTTGCTAAAATAAATTGCAGCATCTGGTTATCACCCACCCCATAGATGAAATTTCCTAGAACAGGGAATTACATATATATGCATATGTATGTATTCATAATACTTATGCCTACATACATCTATACCCATTATTTCTATATTTTTTAAAAAGAAAATGAAATGGAGAATGAGTGGATTTTATTCAATAAATATTCATTAAATGCTTACTATCTGCATCTGTTCATCTTGCATTTCATTAGAAGCTGCAAGTATATCATTTAATTTATTCCCAATATGCAAATCAGAATTGTTAAACTTACTTTTGGATTTGAACAGTGAATATTAGAGAAGTTAAGTAATGTGTTTTAGCAGGCTGGGCATAGTGGCTCAGCCTATAATCCCAGTGCTTTGGGAGGCTGACGCGGGAGAGTTGCTTGAGCCAGGAGTTTGTGATCAGCCTGGGCAACATGCTGAGTTCCCTATCTCCACAAAAAATAGGGAAATTAGCCAGGCATGCTGGTATGCACC